TTTAAATGCTGCAAGATTTATTGAACAAGACAAACAAGACTTGCAGACATGGACACGCAAATAATAAAGATACAAACAGCCGGAGAGATAAACACTACAAACCAAAAAAATACTTTGAGCAGTCAGAATGTGTCAATCATGCAGCCACCTACAGACGCATGCACAGGTGTTGAGGTCAAGCTGTGTCAGGTTATTGTTAGACGTTGGTTTTGAGCCTTTTATGAGTGGAGCAAATTATCTTTGTGTGTGCCAGGACCTCCAGCACCTTCCCTGCAGAGGTGTCCCTGGCTGCAGATACCCAGCTCTGTTTAGTTCTGGTATAAACCGTTGGGCATTTGAGTAAACTGAACGCTGTCGGGGCTCATCACACACATCTGAACAGCAGCAGGACTTGCAGTTTTTATTTGGTGCAGGCTGGTTTGTTGTCATACCGAAGCTCAGTACAGGAGCCCTTTCTGTGTGATATGTGAGAACATGTTTCGGCTGCAAGAAGATGTTTATTTAATCTCACCAAAATGATTCATGTAGTTTGGAATGAACATGGTGAATAGACCAATACAGAGATCTGATAATGAAAGATGAGTATATTCAGTTAAAACCCCTGCAGCCAAGTAAAATGGAAGCTTTAAGGCTTTTGTGTTGATGGAATTTGCACACAAGAGGTAATTCCAGGTTGCCTTTTGATTTGAGTAGACAAAATGAAATTGCCAAAATGTTTCCAGAGTGATTGCTCTTGTCCTTTTCATAGCCAAACATGTCTGATAATCACCTATTACACATTTTGATATTTAGTCAAGATATAGATACATCACCTAGTCTACAGGGCAGCAAATAATTTAACAGTAAAATTACATTTGTTTGTAGGTTTTTGTCAAAGTTGCCAATTTATTTGCTTTAAGTGCTACAATAAATTATTCAGTCAGTTCTACGTGTTTTCATCTGTGTCAGAGTCATTTAATGCGGGACTAAAGTAGAACATGCTCCCAGTCATTATTAGCATGATAATAATAATAAGGCTGGTTTTATTGGCTATTATGTTGTAACCTGCGTCAGATGGTTTGTTACACAGAACCACCTGGGAAGTAGTCACTGGAAACTGTTTGGAAAAGGACAGGAATAATCTTAACCATCTGTCTATAACCGTCTTCACGAACAAACTTCAACCAATCAGATCAACAAACCATGTAACATAGTCATACTCTTACTGGAGCCAGTTGGGAGAACGTAGAAAACATATTTTCTATTGAGAAAAGCCTACACTGTCGTTCTTTACACTTCTTTCAGTCAAGAAATACTCTCCAATTTGGACATAATTGACGCTAGCAGCATCTATGCTAAATTGTGATCTTTCTGCCAATAGATCCTTCAAAATGTTACACACTGGACCTTTAACATTGTCATTATAGTAACTGTTGCCCACTGTCAGAGTTACATTGGATACATCGTAGGAGTCAGCGTACATTATTTGGGGTCAAAGTTCAATTTAGTTGAACTTTTGCAACACAACTTGACAGAGAGACAGAGAACTGGCAGGGTATCATGAAGGGCCCACATGTTGCCTTGTGTCGACGTGGCTGCTTATGAGGACTGCAGTGTGAATAGGGAATTGTAGTCTCTAAAATAAATATACTTTAATGCTACTTTTGTTAAATGAGAGAAAGGCAGTGTTTTCACCAGAAGAAGGGATCAAACAAATATGTAGGTATCAGTAGCCCACATAGTGGCACAAATGTCCAAGCCCTTCTTATTCATGAGCTTGCGTAGATTACAAGATCATTAAATCTCTGACCAGTAACGTATTCCTTCAAGCTCTTCTTCTGATGTTCACACTGGGTTCCACTGTTCGGGTTTTTATTCGTGCAGCAAGCAAAGAAATGTAACTCAGATGGATGGATGACAAGACGGGGTAATTTTTTATTAATTGACTTTGGAAATTGTCTGGCTGAGGTGCTTCAACAGTGGCTGAACCTTCTCGTTTGATGGAGACCACCTTAATTATCTGCCGCTGACTGTATGTCTGGCTCTGTTTGTCTGGATAGCTTTCCAATAGTAAATCATGGATGAGAGGACACAATGAGAACACATTCTGTATCTCTGTGTGTTAGAGAAACTGTGAGTGCATGTAAATTAGTACTTAATTCATTTTCAGTAAATAAAAGCTGGAAAAACAAATTTATTGTTACTGAAACCCAGTCTATTTCAGTGATTTAGGTTTAACAACGCAATAACAATTAATAATAAAGTGATAATAACTTATTTTGAAATATGTAGACCACTGAGCAATGTTTTAAGGCACTTGAATATTTCTGTTTTCGTACTTTTACTTCACTATAAGTAGTTCATCCACTGCTAATACTGACTGAAAGAGACTAATAGAGGAGAAAAAATAGGTTGTAAACTGGAAGAGAACCTAGAAAAATCCTTGGCTTGTTGTGATATACCCCGTGACTCAGCCCTGAAACACACACACACACAGTACACAGTTAGCCATGGTGATGTTCTGGGAAACCGGGTCCCAACAGGGGGACCCCTGAGCTCCTCCTGGACCTCTGAGCTCCTCCTGGGCCAGAGTCTCGTCCTGTGGCTCAGTCCTCGTCCTCTCAGGGGACCAGAGCTGTGAGTGCCTCAGAGCTCTGCAGGGACAAAGCTGAAGATGGTTGTCATGGTAGAAAGCTGCACATCGTCTGGGTGCGCAATACAGATATAATGAATAACAGACATACTGAATATTTACATGTGCAGTATCTCAGTTTTGGCTGCTATTCTTCGAACTCACTAAAATCCACAAACTGTCCCATTCTCATTTATTTTGTTTGTTCCACAATGAATAAGTGCCCCCATTAGACATTACATGCTTTATTTGTTTTTTTCTAATCACAGACCCAAACACTATAAAGCCGAATGATATGTGAGAGGGCCCCGGAGGGAGAAAATAACTAAGTGCATGGAAGGCACAGGTACATATTTATCCAGCTGGAAGATTAGAATGGTTGGAGAGGCGTTGCAATTTATTCAGGCTTTAGTAAACAATAAAGACAGCTCGGGTATGAGTTAGCACACAGTGTTAACACAAACACAGACAGGCTTGGTCAGGTTAATGCCATGCAGCCACACCATTCAATTTACCCCCCAATGAATTGAAAAAAGTGGTTTGACTCAATCGCCATTTTGTTTGTGTTTGTGTTTTTAAGGCAGATCATTTGCATTATATTGTATTAGTATTAGATCACTGAAACATGTTTGATAAACCTGACAGATGACTCATTGTGCAGAGGCTCTCTTTCTTCTATCCCTTTCTGTTCTGTGCCTGCAGGCTCTGTTTCTTCACTTCCTTTTCCTCCTCTTATGCTTGGATTGTTGGAGACGACGTGTGTTGTTACCAAATTAACCAAAAAGCTCCTTTGCTGGAGCAAAATTGTATTGTGAGACTATTTTCCTCATGATATATCTGAAACACAAGTTACAGAGGCCCCATGGTTGTTTTAGTAAGTCAGTCACCATGTGAGCGCCCCCTGCTGTCTGCGAGTGGCAGGGCTCCTGTTAATAGAATCACGTTTTCCCTCAGCATGATTCAGTCTCTGTGTTCATGGGAGTAATTGGTTTGAAATTGGTCTATTTTCTCTGAGAACGCTGTCCTGGATGTCCTGCGGACAAAGGGCTTTTTCAAATGATAAAAAAAAAGGTATCTTCACTCACTAATCTTCAAACTAGAGTGGCAGTGGACAATCACAACAATGAATTATTTCCTGGCAGGTAATAGGATGTCATGAGGAGGCACACTGGCAGTGGAGCTAGAAACAAGTTGATTTATATTTTGTTTCTTTTTCTGGTTCCATGCTGCATGTTTCATATAAAATGGTATAAAATAAGATAAATAAAATAAATAAAAAACTTTATACTTTATGTGACATTCATTTGTATTTGTTTCAGGGAACAAACATTTTTAGTGCATTTCTGCATATTCATTGTAAACTATCTGAACAATTACTTAGATTGCTATTTGATTCAACCATTCATTCCCTCCTCAGGATGAACTTTGGTTAGCCCCTGATTTTTCAACTCACCAAACTAATGACCTTTCCCTCAGTTTCAGCTATACCTTGTGTATAACAAATGTTAGCATGCTAACAAGCAAACAGTGATGGTGAACATAGTGAACGTTATACCTGCTGAACATCACTATGTTAGCATTGTTACTGTGAGCACGCTGATGTTAGCATTTAGCTCAAAGCGCTGTAGCGTAGTAAAGCCTCACAGAGCCGCTAGCATGGTTGTAGTCTCGTTTTATAACATCCAGGATACACTGAAATATTATCTCTCTTCTCACTTAGCTTGTTGCTGCATTTATCAAATGTTAGTCAAAATAAGGGATATTTTTCTTCCCCATTGGGGTTATTCAGTTTTAAAGACAAATATACTGGTATTTGTCATAAGTAGGTGGGTAAAGGTTTGTCACCTTTGTATTATTATTTGTAGTATTTGCTATATCGGTATTGTATTCCTGCTGGTTTCTGCACACAGTCGGCATAGTTAGAGATATCAGTTCTCATTTTCTCCCCTTCAGACAAAGCCTTTTGTAGCCATTTATTCTTGTACATGCAGAACTAACTTCACAGACAATGATCCATCACAATAAACTTACGTCCTTACTTTGATGTTGTCAAACTTTGTGTCTTATCATATTTCTTTGTGCTTGACTTAAGTGTTGTCATATTGTGTTTAGTGTTTTAGTCTTTGCTTTCTGTCAATCACCTGACACTCACTGCCTCTGCCGGAAAATAATCCCTAAAAACAGGCACAGACTTGATTGACACATCCATGTCTTTCTATTGGTGATAAAAAAAGAAGTCTTATAATATAATTACATATGGCTTGGACTGAAAAGTTTTCTGCCAGCACACTTTACACACTTCCCTTGACGTATTAAACACAGTATTGATTGCTTGTTCATTTTTGGGAAGACCTGAAATTGTGTTTATTGTTTCATCTCTCTCGTGCAGGGAGTGGCGTTAGCCTCTCTGTTTTTCATCCTGGTGTCCATCACCACCTTCTGCCTGGAGACCCATGAAGCCTTCAATGAACTGCAGAATCGGACGGAACAGGTTGTCGACGGCAACATCACACGCACAGTGGAGAGGAGGGAGATGGTGACAAAGCCCATCCTCATCATGGTGGAGGGCATCTGTGTGGTCTGGTTCACATTTGAATTCCTGGTGCGTATCGTCTGCTGCCCAAACAAGCTGCTCTTCATTAAGAACACGCTAAACATCATTGACTTTGTGGCCATTCTGCCGTTCTACTTGGAGATGGGCCTGAGTGGTCTGTCATCCAAAGCTGCCAGCGATGTGCTGGGCTTTCTCCGAGTGGTGCGGTTTGTCCGGATCCTCCGGATCTTCAAGCTGACGCGGCACTTTGTTGGCCTGCGCGTGCTGGGTCACACGCTGAGGGCCAGTGTCAATGAATTCCTCCTTCTCATCATCTTCTTGGCACTGGGTGTACTCATCTTCGCCACCATGATATACTACGCTGAGCGCATTGGAGCCAAGCCCAACGACCCCACAGGCTCCAACCACACGCACTTCAAGAACATCCCCATCAGCTTCTGGTGGGCGGTGGTCACCATGACAACGCTGGGCTACGGAGACATGTACCCACAGACGTGGCTGGGTATGATGGTGGGGGCGCTGTGTGCACTGGCCGGGGTGTTGACCATCGCCATGCCGGTCCCCGTCATTGTGAATAATTTTGGGATGTACTACTCGCTGGCTATGGCCAAACAGAAGCTGCCGAAAAAGAAGAAGAAGCACAACCCGAACCCAGACGCTCCGACTGACTCAGCCTCGTTTGCGAAGTCAGAAACAAACTCGCACAGAGACAGCACTCAGAGTGACACATGTCCGCTGGCTGCTGAGGAGAGTGTCAGCAGGAACCGCTCAGGTCAGGCTGCAATGCGATATTAATGGGTCAGTTCACCAAAATTGCCTATTGTGGAATCTAGCCATGCAGATAGTTCTGGTATAATTTTGAACTCAAGATACTTTAGGATTTAGTGGCATCTAGTGCTCTAACTTGTGCCCTTCACCCTTAAACTCCAAATTGCTCCTTATCTCAAGGCGCTTCCACATGCAGCAGGAGGAGCCGGGGATCGAACCACCAACTCCTGAGCCACAGCCGCCCACAGTTATGAATATTATAATTATATTTCTGCAAGTAGATCCTCCTAAATGTTACACACTGAACCTTTAAATACATAAATTCCCTTTTTAATTTTAATTTGTTTTCAGTGTTGCGAAAACAAAATATCATTCACCTCCATTGTAGATCTTATTGTAGACTGTCGGCATGGCTAAATACAACTACACGTAAATTAGAACATTCTTTATCATTTGGATGAACTGACCGTTTAAGCTTATACTGTTTATAGTATTTATTCATTAGGTTTTTAATTTGGAAAAATTGTGTTGTTCATAATTGATGATACATATTTTGGAGGAAAAATAAACAGCCAATGTGTATTTTTTAGTCCTCCTGAGGCTTTTCAGAGTTTGCTTGACAGATGTACCACGCACAGTCATAACGACAGTAACACACCAGGATCAAATTACTCCTCATAGCATCTCAGTCAAATTGAATTTCATCACAGAAAAATACTGATTTTATGCAATATACCTCTGCCTTTGTCTGGGCCCTCAGGGTAGTCTCGGTAAAAGCTTTGGCATTTACGTCGCAGTGTATTTTTGTCTTCCTGTCAGACTCCAAACAGAACGGAGATGCAAATGTGGCCCTTTCAGAGGAGGAAGGCTGCAGCCTGACCCAGCCACTGTCCCCCAGTGAAAAGTGGTCCCTGCGGTGCTCCAGAGGGCGAGATAAAACTAAAAAAGAGGCCACCTGCTTCCTTCTAACCTCTGGAGACCCCAGCATCCATACTGGTAAGTAACATACATATCAGTATATACTGGAATATGCACATGTATCATTTGTAGCGTTGCACGCTATATTGCATGCTTGCTGCATTTTGGCTGTTCTGTTTGTCTGCCCTTTGAGAAAATTCTAATTCAAATTTGGTTCTGTCGTTTTGTCATTTGGTATTTTGGGTTTTCTCTACTGGTGCTTTCTGGGAATTAAACAGCGTATTCAAGAAAATCTTGTCTGTCAAGACCAGGTGCCGTGCAGTATATGTATAAATAGTTCTAGACGGTTTATTATTAATTTAAGGATCCCCATTTTTTGTTCTCTTCAGCTGTCAAAAGGTTTAACTAGACCAAAAGCCCACAGCCAGGCTTGCAGCCCATGCTGTAATTACACACCAGAAAACAGTTGATGAAAAATGAGAGAATGTTTTGCTATTCTTAGATCTTTAGATCAGGGTCAGGACAGAGGTAAGACCATGTTGTTAGTTATATATTGTTAGAAAATGCTTCATAAAATAGCTTTATCTGTAAAGCAGTAAAAAGTCCTGGTTTTCAACATTGACTACAAAATCATCCTGGTGTTTGCCACAATTTAACGATTATATTCTAGTTGTTTTAGTGCTTACATGGACGTTTATTATGTCCCACTCAGTTATGTCAGTATGCTAACAGTTAGCTGTCATGCTGAAGAGAAAGTGGGTCTCTGGAATACTCACTTTTCCGTAATGTATCTGGCAACAAAAATGCTGTGTTCAAGGCGCCCATAGTGTTGAAAGGTGTGCTTGGTAGGTGTGCTGAAATAATTGTCACCCATCCTGATGAAAATGCCTGTCTACATGTGCATGTGCATGAACGTGTGGTACAGTTAAAGGTCCCGGTTTGGGGGTTAGTCACCCTAGGTGTGGATACTGTTATTAGTTCTAGAGGCTCTGAGTAACAAACGTGAACAAAAGTTGGACAGGTACAAATTTTGACACACTGATTGAATTCGTCCTCGGGGGAACAGATTTTTATCTTTGGTTCAAAAAGTCTGGTTCTCAAAAAGTCTTACCTCGGTACAAAGGTAATCAATCAGAGTTCAGCAAACAATCCAAAGAGGCCAAAAAGAGAATATAGTGTATGGCAGCCTGGTGGAGAATTTCTATAGACTCAACATAACAAAGTTTGAGTTCGCTCATTAAAAGATTAGAGAAAACTCCACTGTATATACCCATTTCCCTTCCTAAACTTCTATCATCTTTCTTGCCACCTCCAACTGACTCAAGGCAGGTTTAGTCATTATTTACAGGACAAATCAATGGAAGAGCATTGTAGTACTAATTGCATCATCTATCGGTCTGTGTGTGCTCAGTAAAGGAGCTTTTCTTGAATAACAGAGTCCACAGAGTGCTGCTAGGTTAGGGTTAGTAGTAACACAAGGTACACAACCTGTTGTGTATAAGTGTTTCTTGGATCATTGAACTACACATTTTTAACATGTACTACAAATGTTATGTAATTTTGACTCCTTTAAGGTATCTGGAAAAGGTAAAATGAGTATAAAGGAGAAGGCAAAGCTCCTTTAATTCTCTCAATTGACATCCGCTGTCAACCTGCCATCTCTCTCTGCTTGAATGGTCGCTGGATCTCACATCTGAGCTTCCCAGAGTACCCAAAAGCCCCTTGTGAGAAGAGGCTCTATATTTGGCAGTCATGGATTCATTCCTGACATCCTGAGCACAAATCCCACCCAGTCGACATCCTGACTCTCGTCGGCAAACAGCCTAACCACACTGAAGGTGTTTTCCTGCAAAACTGCACATTACCCAGATGCATTTTTCTACCAGAGCTCATTAGCACATCACTGTTGAGGAAACAACAACACATAAATGGAGCCACTTACTATAGCTCGGCTCCTGTAAGAGCATATACCCTCACTTTTTTTTTCTGACAGCCCATTACAAGAAATTGTATTTGGACATGATTTCTGAAAGCCTGATCAAGCCCTGAATGTGTTGAGTGTCGTAGATTGGTGTAGGTTAATGGCATGTTGTCACATGCAGATGAAAAAAATAAACCAGACATCCTCCATTATATCTCTCAGATAAATGAGAAGAAGGCATCTTACATGTAGTGATACTCAGGGGAGGAAATCATCTGTCAATTTAAAATATACAGCCTCACAGTCGTAGCTGTGGGAAAAACACAAACACAGAGAAACAAAAAGCATCCCCAGCCTTTTTTCCCACAGATTTCACAAATAATACGCAAACGTATCGGTCAGCTCATGAAATTGCCTAGCGAGCTGTCCTCTGATCGCAGAGGCAAAAACAATAGAAAGCTGAGCAAAGCCAGAACACCTCAAAACTAATCTTTGAGAGAGAGGATGGGGTTAATTCAATCCTGAGCCCTGTGTCTGGTGAGTATGTGGATAATGACATCCCAGTCTATTACAGGGATAATATCACACATACAAAACACATTTTAGTGCACATTACCTGCAAAAAGGATTCAAGTGGTCTTTCAGTGTTTCCTAACAGTGTTAAAAACTGTTGTGGCAGAGTTCAAAATCAAAAACTATTTGTTTTTATCCAACCTGCAAAGTCTGCCTTTGAGATTTCAGCCATTTTGAGTTGGTTAGATGAAGAGAGATTGTGGCAGTGGCTCTGCTCTTCACAGCTATGCCCATAGGGGATGGTGTTTGGTTAATTCCAGGGTTACAGGATATAAGGTATGGATAATATTTCACCAGAGAAGTATGGCAGGAAACAGAGAAAAGGACAGATGGATGCAGCAGGTCTGAAGATGCTCGGATGGTTATCAGTGACAGGAAATGGTCGCCCGCCCTGCAGTGGGAACAAAATGCTGGTGGATTTTAAGTAATTAAGGTCGTCACAGGGAGTCTGTGACAGGGTTAGCGCTCGCTGTCACAATTTATACGTACAAAAGCAAACACTGACCTGGTCGAAGGCGCATTGTCTCAGCAATGTGACAACCGCCAGCTTGTTATGAGTGCATAATGGTTGTTCAAGTACTGCTAAGAGGAAGCAGCAGGCGGATGTACAAACAAACAGAGAAAAGGCTTTTGAGCTCGGATGAGCCTCCATATTCCCATCTGACTCCTTTGGATGATCACCACTAATAGGTTTCCATTAACAACAAGGATGGTCAAAGAAAAAGTGTTCTGCTGGCCTCTGAAGTTCAGATCTGTTGGACTTCTCTGACTGTGGAGTAGAGCTAAAATATTAGACAATCAATTACTTGTTAAACAGAAAATTATAGACAACAATTTTGCCATGGGTTTGTCTCCGACTTATGGCCCTTTAGGTCTCCGACTTATGGCCCTTTAGCTGCGAGTCCTCCCCTCTCTCTACCCCCCTTTCCCATCACTCTTCAGCTGTCACTATAAGAAAAAAATATAGAAAGGATATTATATATCAAAAAGAATAATTAAACTGAGAATGGAAAGAAACCGAAAGGATTTAGGAGGTTCTGGATTATTTACATTATTATCATATGTGTATTATTGACATGATATCAATATTTCATTTTTAAAATATCACCGTTATCATTAATACGGGTTTATCGCGACACCCTTAGTTGCAGTCCTACTGTGATGGGTTCACAGCCTGAAGAGGGTCAGCTTTTGTCCAGCAGAGATATTTCATTACACTACTTGAAAACAGTTATTCTTCTTTTCATGCTCATATTATAAGTCACCATGTTTTACTGTATTTCTGTCCTATGTGTTTCCAACAGAGAGCTGTAAAGACATCCTCGCTGCCACTGGAAACTACGCTCAGCCGGAGGTCACCACCCTGACCTGATGCTGATTGGCTATGAAAAGGAGAAAGAGCATGAAGTCGCGGTGGAGTACATGCTGTGCAGAGCTCTGGCTCTGGTTCCTGCTTTATTTTCCTTTCTGAATGAACTGTAGACCGGATTCTTTTTATTCAAGACAAGACTTTTTTTTTTGGTCTCATACATCTAAAACCCTTGTGGTGCAGTTCAGTTGCATAGCAGATTTACCATATGTACTCTCATGTTACAAAACAATCTGCATGTATTGCATGATCTAGCATTGTAGGATGTACTTAAAAGCTGGCTACCATTTATATGCTTATCATTTAGTGAACGTGTCATAGCTTGTCCTGAAGGCCCGTATTTTCTCAGTTAGCTTCTTGTTTTGACCGATGGGGTCCACCATGAACACATAATCTACTGCCCATGTTGGAGCAGTTCTAATTATTTCACATGTTTTTCTTTTCTCTTTGCTCTTCTCTCTGGTTTTTCCATTGGAAAAAGGTGATGTCATGTGTTTCTGTGCTCCGATCAGGATTTAGTTGGTTAGGTTGTTACTGTCACTCAGATCCGATCAAACCACACCCACGCAGTCCTGATTAGATTGAGTTCTCAATAAGTCCCAATAAATAATAATTACCTTATTAGTTATTGGTCAGCTTTGACTGTTGCTTTTTTACTTATGAATATTTAATGCTATAGAGATTATAGAAGATTTAAGATTAGTTTTCAGGTTTAATCTGAAGTGAGTGTTTTAACCATCTTTGCCAATGAGATGTTGCATTTGATTCTGATTTTCTTTTGGAGTAATATGTACAGAAACAGTTTGAGTTTCATAACTGTTGTTAACTGTCGAGTAAGAACACCCAAACACTTGTGAATATGGGTTTGTACAGCTAAGCTGTTGAACTGTGAACTAGGATTAGATGAAAACTTGAAATCATTGTTCGATCCTCATCAAAAACAGACCCAGAGTTCTTTGTGGATCATCCGGTCTCTGCCTTCTGTCGTGCCACTGCTTTTTAACACTGACCACAGGGACAACATGCAGATATTTTGTTGAGACACAAGCGTGGTATGAATGCTGCTCAGGCAACACATTGTTTGTAAATCCTTGTACAATAAGAGAGTTTAACAAAAGAAAAATAAATCAATGGAGCAGTATTCTATATTACATTAGCCGTATACAGTTGATGCAGCACTACTGGTTGAGTCCGGACCAAATGTAGAATCCTATGTTACATGGTAGATTTTCAGTACCATAGTATGTAAAAATACATACAGTACATTGCCATCAGTTCCACTTGTGCCTCATGTTGAGTAATGGAGCTTAAACGTGTGCAGTAATGTCTTTATATTTGTTCTTTAACACTTCTGGTTGTGTCAGATCTGTAGAAACCCTGTTACATGTTTCCACGGAGAGAGGAAGGAGGAGAGTGGTTTCTTTCACTTGTGACTTATAATATATTCCTCATGGTCTACCATAGTGGCCTTATGTTTAATAAACAAAGGGAAAGTTCATTTCATCTTCATTAGACTCCAGCTATGCTGACCCAGAGGTCTGTAATTATGTATAAGCACAGTTTTACGTATGTAGCACAGTAAAATATATTATTATATTCTGGATCATTCCTAAACTATTTTCTCCTCTGTATATGACATCATGTTAACCAATAATGAAAGATTATTATTTTGATAATTCACCTTTTTAGCCTCATTTCCTGTTTTCCCTGTTGTATATACTCGAATGTGATGGAGAAGCACACAGCACATCAGTTTCATATCTCCCCACTATGGATTGTATAGGTGACGGTGATTGATTTAAACCCAGTCTAACTGTCAGATGTTATGTGTGCATGTGTGTGCGTGTGTGCGGGGAGGGGGGTGTGTGTGCGTGTGTGTGCAATGTTGTATCATGTAGGCATGTGTTTCTATGCAGAAATAGAAATAAAATCCATCCATTCCCCCCCCATTGTTGAAGAAAATCTTGTTGTTTATGTGCACGTATTTTCATTCACAGCTGCCTTATCAAACCTACATTTTTTCCATTAACTGCGCAGTTTGCGGCTGTATAGTGCTGCTGCTGTGTCACCTACTGTACAGCTATTTATAGTGGTGACACAAGTGGAGTCTGGTGGTTGAGCTTGTGCTTGCTCAAAGTGGTGTAACGGCAGTCACAGCCGTGCCTCCTGCTCTCCTGTGCCTCCATGATTATGTACTGAAGGTGTAGAAGGCATACAGAACACATCTCCATGGAGATTTGGGATGACAGGCAACACTAATTATTGCTCGGCAGCCTCCATCTCCCCCTCCCTCAGTCTTTCACACGCAAAGAAACACCACTCTCTCTCTCTCTATCCTCACAGACACACACACCTCATCTCAGCATGATCGTCGTTACTGTTGTTGCCCATGAGGAACGTTTTGATGTTTAGGGATGTATTGTGGAGAGCACTGTGGTGATGAAGGGGGAGGAGGGGAGGGGTCACGATGTCATGGATGCGTCTAAACCATCAAGGCTGCATGAATATGAAAGCAGACACCATGTGTTCATACAAAAGCAGACAGTCTTTTACCAAAGCTAAAAGTGGACTGATTGGTCAGATAGGAGCAGGACGACAACATGACAACAAGATGCTTTTATTCTGTCTCTCAAAGACAGCGTTTGGCTGCACTGATATCAGGAAGGTTGTAAACATGTACAGAGAAATATTCAGTTCATCTCCACAAATATTGGGAGTGCATGCATCACATCTATTCGTGTGACCTGGATCTGATTGAAATCATGGTTATAATGTGATACAATGAACATTTGTGTGACAAATGGATTTTGGTTTAAAGCTTTTTCTTAAGCATTAAATTAAAGGGACAGTTCACAAAATGTTCTTGCTTGCCTCGGAAGGTGGGTGGTCATGTAGACAGTTTTAGATGCATTTCTCAAGGTTTTGAAATATACACATTTCAGATTATTTCATAATTAAGGTGGATGGAGTTTACATAGTATTAAAAAATTATCATGTGAAAAAACAATATATACTGATCCCCATTTCTAAAACACAAAACAGATGTAATAGAAACTATTCCTTCAGTAAAAAGTAGTTTTTAGTGGAAATTGTTCATTCTTTTTAAATGTTGTTCGTTACAGTGTTTATTTATGTTCTGTTGCTTTATGCTGCTCTGTATGTACTGTATACTGACGTTGCTTTTGTCATTTTTGGAATTTTATTATGTTATTTTTGTATTTCCTGTCACTTCATTGGTTTTTAGAACAAATTGTCAAAGGGCTGCAGTGAATAACACTGGCACATTTACAGAAATGTTGATTATTGTGCAAATATATAAATAAAAAGTCCCTTGTAATTGCTGTGTCCACCACTGACATCTCCATTGTATTTGGGTGGAGGAGGAAATCTAGGCGATGGATATTTCAAAACAATAAAACCAAAAATATCTTGTATAAATACCACTACAGGTAAATGGGAGAAAATATGTTATTTTCTTTGTATTTTAGATATACTGAAACTTTAATACACTGCAATTTGAGTAAAATGGATTATAAAGCTCACAGCATTTTTCTTTGCTAAATGAATTAAATGCTTATGCTTTTTTTTTATGTTTGCATTAAGTCTACATTAAAGTTAAAATTTGTATCTTCCAGTTAAGTTGCAAATTGCAACCAACTACATACCCCTAGCCTCACCCTCCTCTTTTTAGTGGGTAGGAGAATCTAGGGCGGGCGTGAAATCCACAATAAATGCAAAAGACCCTATCTAGATCCAGTGTTTAGGTTTGTCTGTCCTGGGCTACTGTAGAAACATGGTGGTTCAACATGGCGGCCTCAGCAGAAGAGGACGCGCTCTTTCTGTAGATATAAAGGGTCTTATTTTCAGGCAATTATATACTAAGGAAAACATTCCTGTGAATATTATCCTATCTCCTTTCTCCTAAATGTGGACCTTTAATGTCTCACATGCTGTCATTAGACAAACAATCCAAAACAACCCTGTTTTCAGTTTTTTGTGGTTCAGGTGTATCCATAAGAAAGTTGCTGCGTTTAAGTTTTCCGTGACTGATGAGTGAATGATGTAGTGTAGCACAGCATGTACACCAACTGCTTTTTAATGTTGGTCACTTGTGCTTCATAGCTATTTGAATGTCATGGTCATACATCACAGGTATTATCATAATAAATTGGTTTTAACAACTGAGGCCGCCTTACTACTGCAGCAAGCACATTGTAGATAACGTACAACACAAATAATCTCTCTAACCCCAGAGGGAAATACCACCTTAACAGTCCTCTTTAAACTTGTGTACGTCTCTGTGCTCAGAGGTGATAATTGCCCAGCTGGATCCTTTGATTTGGTTGAATGCCATATTTTGATGATTCTATCAACACAGAGCAGTCCTCATGCTAGTAGCAGATAGTTTTCCACACCTGAATAACTCCATTAGTGAAGCAGCATCTCCCGTTCAGGGGAAAAATGATTGACAGATTAGCGAGGCTGTGATTCATGAAACAAGATGAGCTCGGGCAGAGGAGAAAGAGTCAGAGCTGGAAGTTGAGAGAGAGAATCTGTCAGGGCTTGTCCTGTCATCCCTGATTACTCCCTTTCATTGTTTCCCCTCTTTCCTTGTTTTATTTTTTTCTCCTCTGTTGAAGGTTGTCATGACAATATTGAACACAGTTTCCATGGAGAAAGGCTGAGCCCGAGCCATTTCACCATTTCATTCACTGGTGCGACACTGTGGAAAAAAGGGACCATCTTGACTTCTTATCTTGCCTGGTGGAATAACAAACTTTCACTTATTTATGGCTTTATGAGGATGTAATTTAGAGGGTGGCCTATAACAGGCAACGTGTACTTTCCACTATACATAAGTGATAAGGAGCTCCCATGTAGCCTAATAAATAAATAATGTATCATTATTGCATTGTTATGGCCTGCAACTTATATGAGCAATCAATGTATTGAACTCACTTTGTGCAAGTCATTGCTTTTAAAATAAAAGTCCAATAATCTGTTTGCAACACACTTTTCTATTTTGAATCAGATGTTTTGTTTTAAACAGGGATAAAACTCAGGCTTCTAGCTCCTCTTCAATTTAAAGTACCAGTGTGTAGGATTTAGTTGCATCTAGCGGTGCAGTTGCAGATTACAACCCTCTCACCTCACCCTCCCGTTCCAAGCATGTAGGAGAAACTACGGTGGCTGTGAATCCATTCTGGGCTCATTTTATGGTATCAAAAACACAGCAATTCTTATTTTCAGGTGATTATACTTGCCTATGAATATCATATTCCATTTCTGTCAATAGATCCTCCTAAATGTTACACACTAGACCTTTGAGATTTCAAGTAGAAAGTTATTGTTTGACTGCTTTTGAGAAGCAAATTAAGTTCATCAGACAGATATAAAATCATCTTATGAAGCAGTATCAAGCAGCATTACAAATCACAATCCAGCCACAATGAAGCCACATCGTCTTACAGTATTGACAAGCGTTTGTAAGTCCAGTTCCACCAGCTTCTTAGGAGCAGATGAGAGGAGGGAGAAAGAGAAGAAGCACAATGTGGTTGCTATACAGATGGAGTGTTGAGCTTCTCCATTTTCTGAGTTCAAAGGTCATCCCGACATGAAGAGCTAACCTCTATTAGCCTTCAGATCTTGAGTGGATGTGGAGACACAGGAGCTCTTCACTGCTGTCATTACCGGGAGAAGAAGATATTGTGTCATTTTGCTTCTGGACTGAGCTCACAGCTCTTCATTAAGGACGTTGATTGTCATGTTTTTCCCAGATTTAGTCATCATGTAATATTCTGGTGTTTATTTCAAATCGAGTAATTGTACAGAGAAAAATATAAATATTTGAAGTAGAACATGAAATATTTCCATTAAAGCACAATGTAAATGCCACATTTGTATTGCTTCATTAAATCACAGTCACATGCTCACACAGTCTCCTGTCAGGCTCTTGGAAGCGGTCAGAATGATTTTTTCTGACATGTCAGTTTGAGCTCCTCAACAGCAGTAACTCTCAGCTGATGGACGGATGATTCAGTGCTCCCTGTGTTTCTGCAGTTGACGCCAGAAGATGCTTTCAAATCATTTTTACTAGTCTAGAATTTATTTCCTCTGTGGCAGTAAAACACATCACATGAGTCTGTAGTTTGGAACTGGGCTTCCTAAACATTTGTAGGCTTGCTAGCCTAGCAACATGCTACAAACAACCCATAATGTAACACTTGCTGGAAAAGACACACTTTATATTCCAAAAGAATATCTGATGTTGTGAAAATTGTGTAACTGTGTGGTCCTTGAATATAATACAATGTCCCAAAATATAATTCACACCTGTTTTTCCATACACACGTGCACACAATCCATTCATATTAAAGGAAAAAGATCAAAATGAGGAAAAAATATTAATCATTTAACAATTAGTCTGTTACTCGTACCCATACCTACTCATGATATTTGATCCCTTTAAATGATGGGAATCATTCAATCTATTTAGCATGTATGTATCTATCTATGGTGTCTATCCTAAAATCTTACATAAAAGGAGAACATTTCTCTCACTGAACCTGGATAATTCAGTGTTTTTATCACTTCCAGGTTCAACTTTTCCTATTGTGCACACAAGCAGTTTCCCCATGCAATGATGAACTGATACATTTCAGGTGTGCTCACCTTCAGTTTAACCTCCAAATAAAGTTGGTGTAAAGAATCTGGCTAATCTGCTGGTTTGTTTACAACCTGTCTGATGGTCTCATTGTTTGTGTTTCTTGCCCTGTTGAAACAATTTTTCCATCCTCCCAAATCTTCCCAATTAACTTGATGAGAACAATGTTATCATAACCAGTTGGAATGATGGTCAAAGTGATAAAAATTTGAGTCAAAATTTATTAAACCTGAATTATCCTTTAAACTAGAACCAAAATGTCCGCTTGCAGCTATAAATATAATCAGGCCACCAAATATCAACATTTTTCACAACCGTTCTGGCAGATTGCTTCATGATCAGTGAAAAGTCGACTGACCATAACAACAAAACCCCAAAAAATAAGTCAAACCAATCCAACCCTGTGAGCGTGGATGGAGACGTAATAATCTGTGAAGAGCAGGAGAATTATTTCTCAGTCAACTATCCTAAAGGGAGTTCCCCTCCGCCACAGAAGCATTATGTGTTCAGCAGGCCAGCCTCTTGTGGGCCACTAATGGACAACACTCCCTGTTCTCCTGTGCCCCATTGTATGTGTGCATGTGTGTGTTTGTATGGGGGGAGGGTGGGAGCTGTGGGGCAGGGGAGGGCTGAGAGAGACAGGGGTTAAAAGTGGGAGCTCCATCAGCATTGACCCTGGTGGACTATTACATTACACCAGCTCCTCCATTGCCATCACAACCACACTCTCTTCCTCAGCCTTCACATAATGATCAGACCACCAAAAACACACCAACTGAACACACAGGAACACATACAATCACTGCATTTTATTTGAACACTTAAATCCTGGATGGTTGAGGGTAAAGTGGATATTATGTCTGATAACTGGCCACTGAAAAGTACCGAGGAAGTTTACTGAATGCAGCGCCAAGACGAGGCGAAGAACAGTCATGAGGACATATGGGAAACAGCTGAGTCAGTCGCAAACAGCTTGAGACAAAAATAATACAGGAAAGGTTTGATTGTGATGTATTATCACATTCTTCCAGATAGAGGACAGATATCATGGAGATAATAAAACATGCAGGAAGCCTAGTACATGATTTTATGTGTTGGTTTTGTTTTTAGGACGGAGTATAAATGCCTGAATTCATAAATAATTGGTTTTCTATCCCCGTCAGCTGTCCAGAAGAATCAGATGTTTTGAATCCACATCTTAATGGGTGATGGAGGAGCAGCTTGCAAGTGAATGGAAAGGCCAGGCAGCAGAGCCGCTTCATTATAATCTCATTTGGCCTCTACTGAGGGAGGAAAACAAGAGAAAGTACTGTTTGGGTTTGTGATGAGGAATCTAGTTCCTACAGCTGTGTTTCCAAAGCATTTTTTATGTTTCCTTTTCTCATGACGCAAAAATGTTGTTACCAAAATAGAAAAAAAGAATAGTTTGGGAGAGTGAGATGAGAAAATCAATACCACTCTCATGTCTGTGTGTTAAATGTGAAGCTACAGTCAACAGACAGTTAGCTTAGCTGGTAAGCTGTTGTCCTCACCGTGATGTTGCCAGGCAACCACTGGAAACCCCAGGAAGTGACTGCACCCGGTCACAAAATAGTTAACCCCCCATAAACATATAATTTTTTACCCTTTGGTTTTTGTAAAGATGAAACAAATTAGATATAA